CCATCCATCGTCACCCAACAAACACGATCATCCGTCATTCTATCGAAGGGTGTTCGAAATTAAAACGGATCCCGTGGCTCCTAAACTCGATTATACGAGTTCTAACCACCTGGCGACCCCACTATATTTCTTTCTCTCTTCACCACAGGAAGAATTCATTCACCTGCGTCGCATTTTTCACGGGGATTAGCGATCCCTTAGCTATCTGCCACTATCCAGCATATATATATATATATATATATATATATATATATATATATATATATATATATTGGTATCTTCCTTTTCTTACGAAAAAAAAGAGAAAAAAGAAAGGAGGGTGGGAGAAAGAGAGAGAGAAGAAAACAAGCGAATCTTCTTTGCATCGGATCCTCCAATTCGGGAGGATTTGTTTCGGCACTTGGGGTGTGGTAAGCCGACATGAGACCAACGCGCTCGACGGTGCTCCTAATAACGAGGAATTATCGTGACGATACAATGAGCCCGGGGGAAATCCTCTTTGATGTCTACCACGGAAAATAATACCTCGCTAATAGACCGAGATTACTCGACTATCTCCTCTCTCTCTCTCTCTCTCTCTCTCTTTCTCTCTCTTCATTTCTATCTCTACCTCTATCTTTATCCCTCCTCTCTCTCTCTCTCTCTCTCTCTCTCTCTCTTTCTGCTTATCTATCTTTCTCTATCTTACTCTCTGAGCAACCTGTTATTTTATGTTTCGTCTATCTTCAGTTACGAGTTCTTTGATATCTTGTTATCAAGGCCAATTAATTATTTCTTCGAATCTAAATGTTCTTTAATAATTATAAAAAAAAAAAGAAAAAAAAAGTTTTTTAGATAACATTTCTTCTCTGTGAAAGAAATTTTCTTTTTTTTTTTTCTTTTTTTTTGTTTCTTCTTTCATGTTCGTTAATATCACAACGGTTTAAAAGTAATCTTGATTTTTATCTAGACTTGATCTTCGATTGTCAAATCAATTATATCTATCGAATGAAAAATTTCCGATGGTTAATTGAAATACATGTAATATTTCGTAGAAAATAACGCTTTTCCTTTTGTTTATTTTTTTTTATAATCGACTAATCGATTCAATGTAACGAATAGAAATAGGCCAGGAGGAACCGATCTAATTATTTTATCCTTTCTGCCGTTTAATTCGATTGAGGGTGTCGACGGTGAGTAGGAACTAGGGGGTGAGTGGCGTAGATCGGCCTGGACGAGGTCACGACGGAATCGTTGCCCGAAGGGGCGTGTGCCCTGGACAGGGCCAAGTAGGGTGCAACTGACAGCGGAAGACAATTACCCTTCTGATACATCCAATGCCGCGTGATATTCTATGTTAGCGAGGAACCGTGTATAAGGATTCGTTACACGCTTCGTGACACCCTAGCCAATAGAACGTCATTGTCTTTTACTTACTCTCCTTCTAATCGATTCTAATTTTTTTTTTTCGGGTAAACAATCGTTATAACCATTTGAAACGATCAATTAATTAATTCTTATTATTACTATACGTTATAATTTTTTAATTTAAAAATAAGAAAAGCGTTACATTTATTATTATTTCCCTTTTTTTTTTTCTCTCCTTCTGATAAAATTAATGGTACAACGAAATAATTATTAAACATTGATCTTGATAATTGATTGATAGTTCGTTAGATGTGATCGATAAGTGCGATAAAGTGTTGAATAAAATCAATCGAACTTTCTAGTTGCTTCGAGATTGTTCCTGAATCTAACGAAAGTTTATTTATCCTTCGTGTGATTTTCCATCGTTTCGTGACGCTAATCTAGCACGTGTCGATCACCCGTGACTTTTTGCTCTTCTCTTATCTTGCGCTTTTATTGTTCCCTGAAAGTTATCTACGTTCGATCGATACATTTATTCGCGTCTACATCGTGAAAATGTAGACATTTTAAGATACGAAGAATCAACTTTAATGTATCGAAACTCTAACGTTAATGAGATTCCCCGTGATTACTTCAAAACGTATGGTCGTCGAGTAATTCGGGCTGCCGAATTTCAGGCGATTGTGAGAACCATCGTCTGTCTCTCTCTCTCTCTCTCTCTCTCTCTCTCTCTTTCTCTCGTAATATTTAAAATACAATTAATAAAAATCAAATACAATTTTTATAAGTATATTTGACTTTTATATTATAATAATTTATTAACATTAGCATCTTTTTGTTTTCTTTGTTTTATTTACTTTTTTTTATCTTTCTAATACATACATTAAATAACATGTATACATATGTATATATAATGTAATAAATAATAACGTAGTATTGTTAATAAATTTCAAATTGAGAAAATAAATTTCTCTTCTTTCAGATACCATGAAAAGATTGAAATTGATTTATTACAAGGAGATGAAACGATTGATTGCAAAAATAGCAGTAAATAACGTTAATGTGAAACTTATCAAACATTCAATGCTTTTTTTTTCTTTTTTCTTGTTATTTTAATAAAACTAAAGATTAGAGGGGATTCTAATGTCATTGTAAAAAATAAAAAAAAAAAAAATAAAAAAGATAAAAAAAGAACAATTAATCTATCTTATTAATTGAGATAATTTTATCAATTTTTTTCTTAAAAGATTCTTTATCGTTCTAGATTACTAAAGATGGTCATCGAAGTGAAATCACAGGAAAAACCTTTTTTCTTCAATCGTCCGGGAATACGAAGGTTTTGAACGATGATTCTGAGAATGGTTGAGACGAAGAATAAAGTAGATTAGATTCCTCGTATTTTTCTTCTCTCGTTTGCTAAAAATATAAGAGTACTTTAACGATTTCATCGAATGATATTTATTTGTATTTATAATATGTCTAATTACTTGTTTCTTTCTTTCTTTCTTTTTTTTTTTTCATTTTGATTACCTGAGGAAAAAAATTCGAGCCGTTATGTAAGTCATTATCGTCGTCGGTATCGCTGTCATCCAAATTTAACAATGTCTTAGGCAATCTATTCGAAATGTCAACGAATATCGTTGATCTTTCGTCATCTGGAAATATAATGCGATTTAGTTGATTTTTTATTCGAGGCTCATAATGTCGAGTGTCATTCTCAGTGATGGAATCGAACTTGAGTTCACCCGTTCCAGTCCGATCGGAATCGATTTTGAAATCAAATTTTATCGAAGACGGTTTATTCTGTTTGTCTAATGAAAAAAAAAAAAAAAAAAATTATTACAAAACAAGTACTCGATTATTTTCCATAATATTTGATTATTATCAAATCTTATGAATATTATTAACAAATAAATCCAATACTCACTTTGAACGATATAAGGTCTCGCATAAGGATTATTTCCGTGATTAAATTTATTGAAGAATCGAAAGAATCCACCGTTGTGATTGTTAAGATAATGAATCAGCTGATCAGGATTACTAGGACATTGTGGATATTCTTGATAGCAATTTCTAGGATTTTTTTTACTTGTATATCCTAAAAGAGCGGCCTTTCCAAAACTCAAAATTGGAGATGACTCGGCAAAATTTAAATTTGTTAATAACCTAAGATAAAGGTAAATAGATTAATTATTATATATATATATATATATATATATATATATATATATCGTAATATATTTTGTACGAACCTCAATAATATGTTGTTACCGCTAAACATATTCGTGTCTCGTCGGTATATCAATTCACCTGGCGTAACACCACTCGCCATTTCGCAAAGTATTCTGGGAACGCACTTCAGATCATCGTAACGAGATATCGAATGAAGAGCCTCGAAAAGATTTATATTAAGAATCCCCGAGGTGCCAAAAAATCCACCTACTGTAGTTGGATATTGACTTGATTGATACTGACTGGATACTGTATCTGAAAATTGTGGAATCTGATAACCCTGTAAATTCAAAGTATCGTCATCATTATAATGTCGGAAAATGATTTATTAGAAAATAATTTATAATAATGGAATAGATATAAATTTTATATATATATATATTTTTTTTCCTTTTCTTTTTTTTCCCCTTGATATCAACAAGATGTGCTTTTAATATGGTCATCAAATGTGAAAGTCGATAAAAATGGTTCGTGGGTTGAAAAGATAATTTGATTTTACGTAAGTACCGGTTTCGATATGCCGTTAAACAAGGATACGATCAAATCGGTCCATGGAGAATCTTGTCCGGAATGTAATCGACTATTATATTCATTCTTGGTCGATCTATCGATCTCACGTGTTTTCAAATACGTGGCTAAGAAATTCATGCATCTGTGAAAATCAATATAGATTCATAAATAATATAAAATTATATATTACTAATTATATTTCTATTGATATTAGACTTACCGTAATAAATCCTTCGAATCGTAATATTTTTGAGTATCATCGAAGTCACACGAATTATCAAACGTTCCTTCACTCGACAAATCGTTTCTAGATCTAGTTTGAACGTAGACGATCGCACAAGAGAAAATAAGACCAAATTTTGCAAACATATTTGTACTCGAACGATCACAAGAATAACATTGTAATATTATTGAATGAATATTGAAATTGTACGACGTTGAATGAGAAAGAAAAAGAACAAAAGAAAAAAAGATAAGAAAAAGTAAAAATAAACAAAATCTCGAAATAATACTTTGATATCGAAATATAAGGAAAAAAAAAAAAACAAAAATAAATAAATACTCTAGGAGACTAGAGAATCGTTCAGTATATTTTGTTCCGCACGAACTGACGCTTTCTTCGAAACTGTTCTTCGTCGTAGAGATTTCACGATCGTTCGTTCGTATGTATATAGCAACGTAATGTGTAGGAAGAAACCTCGTTTAATGTACTACTCTCACTCCGTTTGTAGGTCTACATACATCTATATTCTCGCATACCTATATATGTACGTCTAAATCAATACCGGAAAAAATGCGTTTAAATGTTAATAGAAGATTATAAGGATGATCGAAGAATGAAATGATTGAGAAAGAAAAATTTGACATTTTTTCTAAACAAAATATACCAAAAACAAATGAAAACATTTTCGTAAAACATAAACACTTTTATTATAATAATATTAAAATGGTAATCCATATTGCATTATAGATTTTTACATGAGAGAAATAACATGAGAAAAATATAACAAACAAATATATATATATATATATATACATATATATATATATACATATATAGATATATTTTTGCGCTTCTATTTCGATATCAACGAAACAAAAAAAGAAAAAAAACAAAAGAAAGGAAAAGAAAAAAAAAAGAATATTTTCATACGAGGAAGAACCGGTCGGTGATCAGCGTAACGTTCATGGCATCAAAATATTTACAATCACTCGAGGAAACCACACGACCTTCTTTCATTCTCGTAACGTCCTTTTTAATTAATCCGACGGAGTATAATCGTCGCAGGCTCTTCCTCTCTTTGCCAGTTGATGGCAAAGCCTTGGACTGCCAATAACATCTCCAAGAAAGACGCTCAAAAGATAATTCTCTTTCATCGGATTTGGCGACGATTTATATTCTCTGAAAGTAGAAAAGCAAAGACAATAGAACAATTTTATATTAAACGAACATTATTCCAATACCTTTTCACGCGTTTCTCTTATATTTTATTATAAAAATCAAGATTATTATTGATAATAGATTTATTGAAAAAGGAAAAAAGAAAAAAAGAACAAGAAAAAAAGGAAGAAATGGGAAAGTACTCGTAAGATCTCTCGTAAATCTAAATCTCTTTCGTGCGTACGTTTAAATTTATTTTTATAATAAAAAAAAAAAAAAAAAAAAAAAAAAAAAAAAAAATAAAAATAAAAATAAAAATCGTAACCTTAGAGGTACGTATGTATGTACATACGTATCGATCTTTCAAGATAAATCCATTAGATTTTTCGATAAATTATTATTTGCCGTTCGATATAATTTTATTATTATTTCTAATGACTTCTGATTACTTTTTTTAACATACACACACACACACATATATATATATATATATATTTTTAAAGAGGATCGTTTTTTTTTTGTTGAAGGAAGGATGCACCGATTCGAGATAATCTCAAAGGACAAAATCCCTTCTTTCGAGGATCTCTGGAGAAGACGCAAAAAGGAAGAAAGGAGAAGGTGAATGTTAGATCCTTCGTCCATGGACCGTTAAGTCCGTCTAGACGCCAGTTCCTGCCAGTACCAATCTCCGATTTATCTCTTTTCTCTCTCTCTCTCTCTCTCTCTTTCTCTCTCTCTCTCTCTCTCTCTCTCTATTTCTCTCTATTTCTTTCTTTGTCTACTTCATCTTCGTGAGTGCGTGCGAGGAAGCATTCGCAGGTGACAGGACAGATTATAGGATGTTTCGAGCGTGTACTAAGACGACGACAATGACGCGTGCTACATATTTTCAGCTTCGAGGCATTTTCGAATAGTAGATAACGTGACAGCTCTTCGAGAAAATCTATGTATTATACGTACGTTTATATGTATATATATATACACACACATACACGTATATAATATGTATATATACGTGTTGTATATATATATATATGTATATATATACAACAAAGTCAAGTAATCGTAAAAGCGTTAGATGGAAAACCCGTAGGTGCCTACGGTTGTGTCTACGTGATTGAAAGCACAATGGCGTAAAAACTTAAAAATTTCATCCTTTTGACACGTGTTCATGTAAATTTGAGATAAATTAGTTTTACAAGATAATTGCTTTTTATTTTTTTCTTTTTTTTTTTTCTTTCTCTCTCTCTTCGTTGCAACATATCGAAATTCAGAAACAGGACGAATGAAATTTAATGATATATTACAACGATATATATCGGATAATATATTATACGTTTTCCGAAATCGAAATAATGCTAATATATTTGGTATTTCATTGAAAGATCATCGAAAGATACGTGAGAATGAATTCAATAGAAAAATATTGATTTAATCATCGAAAGGAGTATAGATGTTCGTCGATAGTTAACTCGACGCCAATGGTAGGAAGAGAGTTATCAGGATGCATTAGGGCTCTTGTGGAGTTGCCATTAAAGGCTATCTGCTTCTGGCGTTACTTACAACTGAATAACGTAAGATCGAAAGGAGGAGAGTCTTTGAAACACGTAAGTTCTTGAGTTTCATGGATTTCTATTACGTCGATGAATGTAAGACTATTCGATTTAAGTGTAAGAACAGAGAAAATATATCTTCGATGGTTGATACAAAACCACGAAGCTACCTTGTATTCGATTTAGTTCACATTTATTTATAATTTTTTTACATTATTATTTCATTTTTCCTTTTATTTATTATATAAATTTATGACATCCATTCGACATAATGAGGACATAATAAATATGCATAAATAAATATGCATAATGTTTCTTTGTTTATTTTTTAATTTCGTAATCCAGAACGGACATTGTAAGTCGAACATCGAATCAAGTTTTTCTCGACAGATCGATTAGTTACACGTATTAAAGATAATTAGAGCTTTTATCAGCCTACAGGAAAAATGATAGAAAACTGATCTTCGTGTTATACATAACTCTTGAAAATGATAAACTTGTAATTACTAAAGATCATCACTCATACTATATTAATCATACCTGAATATGACATCCCAATCTAGGACACGTTCTCTGCTTCTTCTTTGCAACGTTTTCGTAGCATATTTCGCGCATATTCTTTCGTAAATGCATACATCATTACCGAGTTTTTCAACGAGTTTCTTCTCGATTTGTCCAACGTTCAATATTTCCTCGTCGTGTATCAAACGTGCCATTCGTTTAGTTCTGTTTGCATATGTCTCTGTGTCAAACATAAAAGAACAAAGTGATCCTGTATAAAATCAAATTGAATCGTATCGAATGAAAAATATTATTTAGATTAGAAATAAATTATATTATTACGCGATATATATATATATATATATATATATATATATATATATATCTAATTAACTTTCGCTTTCTCGAAAATTTCGTGTTAATTAGAACGCCAACGAAAGATTGACGCGAGTCGATTATACGTATTTTATGAAGTAACTGTTCTTATTTAGCGCTTCAATTTAACGAACCGTAAGAGAGACATTATTACAGTTCCTTTTCTTATTCAAGAAAATGTTAAGAAGAACGAATCCCTTAAATTAGATGCGTCACAGTTAGTTACTTACACAATCTTGAAAAAAAAATCTCTTACCTGGATTCAATGAATAAGCCAACTTTTTAATAAAATTCGAGACCCTAACGGCGGCAATGATAATGGGAAAACCAAAGAGTTGTACTGGAACGTCTAATAACGGTTCATCTTGTTGCGGCATTGAATCGACCATTGACAATAAAACGATGTAAAATCCAACGTAGACAAATAATATTTTTGTCAATAGCATTTCGTCGATTTTATCTAATCAAAAATTAAATAATAAAATAATATAATCTATATAGTATAAGCACTATAACTCATTTATTTATTTATTTTTCTTTTTTCTTTCACCGAACACTTAAAATTTCAACACTTTCGATGATGTCTTATAGTTCGATGATAAATCAACTTTGACAGATAATGATTATAATTGATGTATTATTCATTGTATGAAATACGATAGTGGCGATCGAGTTTTTAATGTAATCCGATGTAGCTTCCTCAAAAGTTTTTCTTTTTTTTTTTTCTTTTCGGAAGAGGAAACGAAAAGAAAAGAAAAACAAAATAGAAAAAAGAAAAAAAAAAGAACGAAATGATTAATAAATAAGACGTCCACTTGACTTGGTAAAAAGCTGACGTTCGTTTGAATGTTCATGAAGTCAATGTTGGAGAGAACCACACGATACGTTCCTACCTCCGACCTGGAGAAAGTAATTCGCCCCTACCTATTCCACCTTTACTACTCCACTCGACTTTGAAATGTGCGGACACAGCGACAATCTTATGTGATTGTAATGTTTCATAAGCAGATAGATTTACATTCGCGTCATTGAATATTCGTTCTCCTTTTCTCTTTTTCTTTTTTGTTTTTTTTTTCTTTCTTAATTTTTTTTTTCTCTACTCTTTTATTTTCTATTCTTTTTTCTCCTTTTTCTTCTTCTGTTTTATTATGATACGTGAATGGTATATTAATTGTATATGGTCATATTCCAATGTATAAGGTCATCGGAAAATTTTTTATATAATGATCAAACGAATGAAACTTGTAATGTAGCTCAGTGAATATATAAAGTAGAAACTGAATTATAACGAAGGAATCACCGTTATTTCAGTGTCCGATAGAAAATACAATTTATTGTAGAAATCGGTAAAAATTTAGTTTAGCAGGTTAAGAACGTATTGTTACGTGATGTGCGTATATATATATATATATATATATATATATATATATATATGTAGTAAATATATAAAGAAAAGTAATTATTCTTTTATCCGATAATTATTTATCCGATAAAATATCTAAACATCTCATACGTCTATCGATTAGTTCAATGAGATTCTATTGTACTTATATAATTTCATATTATTATATATTCATATATTTTATATATAATATATAATATTCATATATTTAATATTCATAAATATATAATATTCATATATTTTAATATTATTATTATTATTAATATTTATTAGATTTTATTGTACAGATCGAATGTGACTGATAGAAAAAAACAAAGAAGAAAAAAAAAATGAACGTACGTGAGTATTCATTTGATTTATAAAAATCATTATCACAATTGTAAACATGTAGAAATAAGCAAATATTTGAAGAATTATAAATGACATGTATTACGTTAATATTGACGATCATTGATAAAAATTGTCCATAGTATAAAACAATATTTATATTCTCTTTTGTATGCAATTTGTACGTTTCACAATTATATACGTATTTCAATTAACAAAGAACTTTGTAAAGGTTTCACTTAAATGCGCAATAACGATTCAAAAATGAATATTCAAGTTTACTTATAAAAAGATTGCATATCGTTGACTCGTAAAATAGTTTTGATCGCGTAACAACGATAACAATGAGGACGAAACAAAGTTGAATAAAAAATCGATTTCTCAAATGGGATTACGCTTCGAACGTAATACGTTGATTGACCAACATTGTTTTTAATTCTATTTTTTTTTCTTTCTTTTTTTTCTTTTTCTTTTTCTTTCTCTTTTCTTTGGACTTCGTATCGACTCGAATACAAATCAGTTGTATTCATTTTAAAGCGTAGCGTGTTCTATAATCAAATAAATTAAAGTGCGGCTCGTACACGAGGTATGAAGTATTCTCGAAAGTGCGTAGAATAATATTATATCTGTTAAGAGAAAGTAAAGAAACGGGGACCGGACTGATCGAAAGAAAATCATGTTAACCGACATTTTCACGATAGACATTTTATTTCCTTCACGAAGTAATTCTATCGAATCATTAATTACTATATCGAGTGGAAGAAAAATCAGAAAGAAATGAAGGGAGTGAGAGAGAGAGAGAGAGAGAGAGAGAGAGAGAGAGAAAAGACGAGTCTTTCGAGAAGGCGTCTCGATTACGATGATCATGCGTTTTGGCGTCCATCAAACTTTCGCAAGAAGTCGGGAGCAGTTTGAAAATCTCGACGATCGTGATCGTTAATGGGGCGAACGTAGTTTCCTCGATAGGAAGAGGATCGTAGAAGAGGGTGGCGAAAGGAGAATGAGATGGGTGGAAAGTGGAGCTTGGAAACGAGCATGGAACGAGGAAATGGCAGTTAGGCGAGAGAGCGAGTGCAACCGGGAAGACTATCGTGCACTAGACTGTAGAGCGAACATTGAAAGAGAGCGAGAGCGAGAGAGAGAGAGCGAGAGAGAGAGAGAGAGAGAGAGAGAGAGAGAGAAGGCGTAAACCAGTAGAAAGTTGGCACGAAAGGAGAAGGAAGAATGAAGGTGGAGATTCTGATAAACCGAATATCCTGCGATAATTTTTGCGAGAATCTCGATGGGATTGCCTTTGAAAGAAAAAGAAAAAGACAAAGAAGAAAAGACGAAGTGGAAAAGAAAAAGAAGAAGGGGAAAAAGGCGAAGAAGAGAAGGAAGAGGAAAAGAGAAGAGAAAGAAGAAGAAATAACAAAAATGGAAAGTTTGAAAGGGTGATTTAGGGATGGTTTTACTCGAACGAAACATATCGTCGAAATAAACTGCTAAACCAAAAGAAACAGAGAGAGAGAGAGAGAAATTTTTGGCACGATCTTACCAGAAAACGTTTACGATCGTAAAGCTCATTTTAAAACGTCCGTTTCGTGATTTGGCATCGTAGTTAAGTCGATAAAGGCGCCGACAATTATTCTAATAATTTTTGATAACACTTATCGACTATTTTTATTAGAACTACCAATAACGTGTGTCCGAACGTTTTCGAACATTTTGCCTATGATTTCGTATAAATTATCTCGTTCTCTCTCTCTCTCTCTCTCTCTCTCTCTCTCTCTCTTTTTCTCTTTCGAAGTCAAACTAAACACGTGAAGGTATAATTGAAGAAAAATAATGATAAACGTTAAACGAAAAGCTTTTATTACATTACTCATTTGAAACTTGCGAAATATCTGACAAGTGTAATATTTATTAATGACAATGATTTCTTCAATGTTATTTTATTTTATTTTATTTTTTTTTTTATTCATTTAATTAATCATTTTTATATTTTTATAATATTATTAATTATTCGATATTAATAATTATTATAATTATTTTTCTATTTGTATTTATTTATTTATTTATTTATTTATTTATTTATTTGTCTTTTTTTATTCATTTTAATAATAAAATTTATTTTCTTCTTTCATTTAATAATATTCCAATATAAAATATATTTTATTAACGTTTAATATATCAGTATAAAGTTTATATATTTCGATATTTTCGATTAACCATCGTAAATATAATAATATTTCGTATAAATATGATTTTGGATTGATCTTCGAAGAAAATGTTCATCGTTCTATTCATTATTCAATTTTGAAGGACAAAGCATTTTGATTGTTGACTCGAGAAGAGTCACGGAGGAAATAATTACTATATCTCGAATGATCTCTCTTGTTATCTCGCGCGATTGTATCGTAAGGCAGATTAAATGGCCGATTATAATGACGTTGAAAGCGGGATAAAGCGATACAGCGAATTATCTTTCAAGTATGATCGCAATAATTGTTGGAGTAGGACTAATAGGGATGACTGAACTTATGAAAGAGACGTGGTTGTAAAAGGGATGAATGAACTTGTAAAGCGAAAGAGAAGATCTATTAAATCGATCTCGTCTTTGGCTAGATCTCCTTGATATTATGCGCTTTGCTTAAATATTATACACGTAAGTACTCGATAAGTACTCGAATATTTATTAAATCTAAAATCGATATACGAATTTAAATCTTTCGAATATTACAAGATGAAAATATTTTCTAAGATCGTATTTGATTTTTATTTATCCCTATCGAATTATGATGCTATCGTGATCTTCGTTACGATTGTCTAGTAAATAACGATCGATGAAATAAAAATTTTTTTTATGAGAATATTTCGCAAAAATGAAACTCGTGAAAAATCGACGATCAAGTTAATGACAATGATCGTAATTTCATACGATAAAAATATTATACAATGGTAGAAAAGAAATATAAAGAAATATTAAAGAAAGAAAAAAGAAGAAGAAGAAGAAGAAGAAGAAGAAGAAGAAGAAGAAAAAAAATAAAAACATTCGTTCCTACGTCATTTACATTCTCCCAACAACATCATCATAAGAATATCACAGATATTTTAAAAACTTTCACAGCGACACAAGATTCTTCGAGTAGCATCAATTTAACAAATTACAATGATTTGTTCGTTTTTCATTGCAATCTAATTTTCTTCATCATGTTAAGTACACTGATACTTGGTAGAGGACAAGTAGGATAGAAGTTATGGCAGCCTTGTCCTTCCACGCCAGAAATTAATTGACCCATGTGAGCCGCGAAATGATATCTCGAGGGCACTTCTGCGATCGTATTCAAACTTGTGTCCCTGAAAAAAAAAAATGTTTAATTAAATGTATTCAATAAGATATTTATAATTTGTATACAATGAAAAAATCGATAAATCGATTATTGAATGATTGAAATCTTTTTCACACGATTAATTATAAATTTATATATAGGAATATAAATGTACATACATACATATATATATATATATATATATATATATATATATATATATATATATCTTTTGTTATTTATAACGACATATGAAAAAATTTAAATTACATCGAACAAATTTCAAAAGGATTTTTTAAGGTAATCATCCATCGTAGTCATTTTGGTTTGCCCATAATAAAATGGTTGAGAACCCATAACGTATAAGAGAACAGGCACAAGGCGAGTAGCCTTTTACTTTCGATATCGATGCCGTGCGCGGTAAATGTGCGCTATAAAGTCCGGTTACACCCGGCAAAAAGGAACGTTGGGAACTTAACGCTCGAACCTTTCTCCTAGCTTGCCGTACATTATATAAATATATTATATATGTACATATATATATGTATATATACATACGTACATATATACACATATATATATACATACGTACATACATACACACACGTATATATAAACATACATGTATATATATATATATATATATATATATATATATATATATATACTCAGAACATACCTATATCTATTTGCATGGGAGAACATAAGGAAGTAGATAAGTAAATAAAAATGAAATAAATAAATAAACGTTTAAATTCTTACCGAAAATTAAATCAATCCGTTCGAACTTTTACGATTCCTCTTTAAACATTAACTTTCACCTTTTCTTTGTTAACCCGTTGAAATTTAACGTGAAATCTTTCGAAGGAAAAAAGAAAAAAAAAAAAAAGAAGAAAGAAGAAGGAATAACAAACTTGAAAAATTCACTTCTCGATGGGATATAAAATCACGGTTTTACCTTCGAAAATCACGGTTAAGGGGAATGGAAACGTTAGAAAAAGTGAAATGGAATTTATCGTGAGAAAGATCGAGCGACGATTTCGCAAAGAGATCGTTTTGCATAAGAGAAAAGCGTGAGAGAAAGATGAAGGGTTCGAGAGTAATCGTGCTAGGGTGGTATCATGGTATGATGTGCTGTGGGCGGAGGGGGTGGGTGAGGGGTAGGGTGTGAGATTGTTGTGGATGGTAAGGAAAGAACGAAGAGTGGCAGTTTCGTCACGCATGGATCGCGTAGGAAAACGCGATCTTCCTGGCCTCACGAGAAGGAGAAGAAGATCTTACTACCCTCGCCCTTTACGATCGTCCTTTTTCGAGTCTTTCTTCGCCGATGAGAATCCTACGATGGTGCCCTATAAGCGTAGGGTGAGAAAGGCCAAAGGAAAAAGGAAAGGAAAGAGGATGAATATAAAGGAATAAACGCAAAACGGCTTTTTAGCTACGACTCTCTTCTCTCCATCTTGATCGATTTAAACCGAAGCCCGATTCCTTGCCAATAAAAATCAAACCGTCCCACGCGCGCCCCCCCCTCCTCCTCTTCCTCCTCCTCCTCCTCTTCCTCCTCTCCTTGTTGGCTTTCCTTTCTCATTCTTATTCGTCCATTTTCTCTTTATTTTTCGTTTTCTCCGTTTTCCTTTTTCTTCTCCTCTCTTTCCTTTTCTTTTTCTTTTTCTTTTTCTTTTTCTTCTTATTCCCTTGCCGTTTTTACGTACGCATAAAAGTAAATATAAAGTGCACCTTCCAGGGCATTAACCGGAGAATGATCGTTCATTTGGACGATTTTAAAATCCCTTTTTTTTATCCTTTTTTCTTTCTTCTTCTTCTTCTTCTTCTATTTTTCTTTTTTCATACGACTTATTTCATTAGAAAGAAAATCTCCAGAGATCTCGATCAATCGAATATATCGTATTTCATTTTAGAATCGATCGTTGTGCAATTTTTGGAAAATATTTGTTCATTGTTTGTGTTTCTTCTTTTATTTTTTCTTTTTTTGTCTTTTTCTTCCTTTCTCTCTCTTTTTTTTTTTTTTTTTTTTGATTATATTTCATTTAAAAAAAAAAGTTAATCTTCGAAAGAAAAGATATTCGGATATTGAATTATTTATCTTCGTTATTATCCTAATTATAGTAAGTCATACCTTATAACGAGATGTATGGAGAAAATAATTTAATGATTTTTTATCGACAGAATGAAAGATCAAAGATCTCGACGTACAATACGTCTAGACTACTGCAAATGGATAGATTTTATCGCAAGTACTTAAAGATACCGTCGTTAACGTTAAAATCTTCGAGTTCATTGCTTTCACTATCTTTCTCCATCTTTTTTTCTTTCGTCTTTTCTTTCCTTATTTTTTTCTACTTTTCTCCACGTTACAATCATTATTTATTAATTACGATAGGAAGAAGAAAATGATCTGATCGCCTACGGAAAAAAGGAAGAAATTAATTCCTCGATCACTATTATCAGTAATAATAGAAAAAAAAAAAAAAAAAAAAAAAAAAAAAAAGAAACTAAAGAGAACAGAACATGACGAACGTTCGTGTGATCGTGCGTCATCGGTTAAATTCATTGATTCTTTTTTTTTTCCTCCCTTTTTCTTTATTTATTTCGTTAAAGAAATTTTATCAACAAAAAGAAAAATTTACTTATAATAGAATTCATTTAAATCATGAAATTAGGAAGCCCAATGACGGATATACAAAAGAAATAAATTACATGTCGTATGTTTATTCTGGCAGTACTGGAGAAAGTTGATGGATTAGATAATCAGAGAAAAGGAAAGTGCTTGTCAGTGTTATTACAAGGCAGACGTAGTTGTACGACTCACGTGAAAGGAACACATTTTATTTTTCGGCGATTCTTACGTAAGAGGAACGCAACTTTCTCGTCGTATTTCTTTTTCGAAGATGTATGAGAGAAAGAGAAAGAGAGAAAGAGAAAGAGACAGATCCGATTATTTATTTAACGATTGCTCTTTATTTTATCATAATTGGTTTATTTACATGAAATTTTTTTTTTTAAGAGAAAATTAAAGTATAGAGAGCAACCGATGTTAAACAAATATATCAAATGTTATTGGAATAATTCATTATATTTATAAATAATTACTCCGAAAAATTATTAATGATAATTATTATCTCTCGAGTCGAGAAGTAATTCTTCTTTTTTTTTTTTTTACCCCTCTTTTCCTTTCTTTCTCATAATAAATAATTATCAAATTTTATATCAATTCTCGGTGTTGTATGAAAGTTGAACTAAACGGAGAAAAAAGAAAAAAAAAAAAAAGAAAAAAAGAATTAAAATTAAAAAAGATCGAGAAATTAATATTTTTGAAAATTCATTGATCTCTTTCAGATTATTTTCCGCGTACATATTTGGTTAACGTTTCGATCCTTTTGTTTTTGAACATTACTATAAATTTGGTCTTAATTAGAGAGCCGAATGAAATGAGTCGGATCATTCGATTCGAGAATAATTCTTTTTTTCGTTATTCGTGAATACTAATGCGAAGTATATCTTTATATGTATGTACGTTTGCGTCTGTATGCGTGCGCCCAGGAACATATGCAAACGCGTTTGCGTTTATCATGAGCTTTCGCTAGTTCCACTTGGAACGATCGTAAAAGGAAAACTGCGAAATACGCACGCGTTTACGCTACCGTCCAACGCATATTCGCCCTCACGCTATCCAATTTTCGTTGGTAGCTTTCTCTCTTTCTCTCACTTTCTCTCTCTCTTTCTCTCTCTCTGGTTGGGCTTCAAATTCCCGCTCTTTCCGAGAGGAGGATCACTTGTTTTTCCAAAATCGTTTCCGTGTAATTGTAGTTGCATGTTACGATTCCTGGCTTTTGTTACTCGAATCAATTCTCCATGTATATTGATATACATATGTGTGTGTGTGTGTGTGATACACATATGGATATATATATGTATATATCCGTATACTATATATGTATATATAGTAAATGTAAGTAAGTATATATCATGGTATAATATATGTTAATAGAAAAAAAAAAAATATATATATATATATTTAAATACATTGAATTTCTAAATAATTTTGTATAAATCAATTAAGTAATCTAATGACTTGCATAATTAAATTACGAATTAGATTGGAAATAAACGATAATTTAGTGTTATATTTTTTATATTGAATATTAATTTTAAGAATTATTATTTTACTATTATTATTTTTTTCTAATTCAAGTAACACGTTATTAATAGGGTTGAATAAATAAAAATTATCCTTTCCTTTGATTATATCTGTGGTGATTTATCTCAGTGAATGGAACGATCGAAAGTCGTGAAAGTAGTTTTATAGTAGAATATCCGATGATGAAAATGCACAAGTCTAGAGTTTGCATTTGCCTCGTAGTAGACGGAATAATTATGGGCGCGAGATTAAACTCGGGCTTTACTCTTGCGAGGTAGGTATATCTAAGTCTCGATATCGTTCGCACGACATCTCGGTAAGCGATCTTCCAGACGGCACGCGATATTTAGTCAACCTATGTATATATATATATATATATATATATATATATATATATATATATAAATATACATACGTGAACAAACACGCAAGATTTCAACGAGGTAGAATGGTGAAACTGTGAAACATCAAATCGTAATATTACACAATTTTATACTTAACGTTTTTGATCTTAATCGAAACGACTTAATAAAATCCGTTGAATTACAAAACGACGGAATTACCTTATTTACCACCTCCTCCCCCCTCTCTTACACCTCACCGAATTGATTTGCATAGAAGAAGACAATATATATATATATATACATATAAGATTAATGGAACGAAATTTTTCAGATAATTTTTTACCGAATCAAATTCAACAGTGAACGTTCCATTTCGCTTAATTGATCCTGATGAACAGAAGACGTCAATTCGCAAATGAGTTTTGGCAGGCAGGCAGTCTTAATTGTTGTCATTATCTTGGCCCGTCTTGCGATACCTGAAAATCGAAGATCATTATTCTGTAATCATTTTTACAAAATTGTATTGTTCTTAGTAATAGACCTTGGAATATCGATCTATCGTACGAGTGAAAGTAGAATATCGAGTTTAGAAAACGTGTACGTAGCTACTGAATACAATGCCGTTTCGTTTGTGAGCTCGATATATTATTTTACGATCGTCAATAATAATCGAATAAAATAAATATCCATATATATACATATATATATATATATATATATATATATATATATATATTAGATATAATTTTTCTTAGATATAAGGGTCATTGATTATTAATATCTAAAAAAATATAAATATAATTTGCTATTCATTGAAATTGTTAGAATAATATCTATATAAATCGCTTAATTAATCGATTAATTAATTAAAAGATTAAATAATTAAAAAGAAAAGAAAACGTGAAACATTCCTCATATTACTTTCGTAAAATCAAATAGCGCATTAAAATTCGACCTTGTTTTATTATTCGTTCATTGGATCTCATTAATGCCTAATGAATACATTTTATAACGTTGATTATTAGGATTCGGTCTCGGAACATTTCACTATGCTTGACTTTCGAATAACATTTTCTTCTACAGTAAAATGACTATCCGCGTGCATCGAAAGACACGCGGGAGCTATTGAATAGTAAGTGCAAGGTAAGTAAGTAATCTGGATCTGGGTGAGGCCTAATCTCAGCAATGCGAAAAATATAAAATCAAATTTTTCTTTGGAAAGTACAAACGTATTTATACGCTTTATTAATATTAAAAGTAAGTTAATAATTAAAATTTTCATTAATACAATGAAAGTATCGTTAAACAATAAGCAATTTAAAAGTATGTTAGATATCTCGTTAGAATTAATCACGATTCATATTTGCAAAATATTATATTTATTAAGGAAAAGAAACAAACAAAAAAAAACAAAAAATAAAAAAAGAAAGAAAATATCGTTAAATGAAATATCTTCGGGAAATTTAAAAATTGTAAACAAATCTATAAATTATAACGCGTTCAAGGAGATTGTTCTTATTTTAGAATCAATCAATAGTTCATGTTTATTTATGTCGTTAGTTACGTTTAATATGTGATAAGACACGTTTTGTTTTCCATTTAAATAATTTACAAAATTATTGTAAATTTCTTGAATAAAATAAATAATCAACGTTTAATCGTTATTTACCATTGTCCTTCTCGGTTTCCTTTTTCGTCGTAAAGTCAATTGTTAATATTTCTTTAGATCCTTTTATCGGTGGACCTATTGGTCCTTTGTTAGAATCTGTATCATTCTTATCCACGTTTTTGGCAAATATTGAAGGTATAAAGGTACTATAATCTCCAGCGTGTAGATATAAAGTCACACATAAGAGTATTATCAGTCGTATCGTGCTCGCGTCAAAAACCATATTGATTTTTGTTCGTTAAAAAGACGGGAAAAAAAATAAAGAAAGAAAGAAAGAAAAGAAAGTTACGAAGGGCAAAATACGATGGATGATAATAAAAAGAAAAAGAAAAAAAACAAAAAAAGAAAAACAATAAGGGAACAGGACAAAAATGAAAACGAAAAAGAAGAAATTGAAGAAAGAAAGAAAATAAAAAAAAATATATATATATATATATATAACAAAAAATAAAGCTGAACTCCTCTGAAACTTTTTTTATCTAAAGTTTTTCCTGTTCCCCATACGAAAAATAAAACGAATGATAATTCGTATTGTAAAATTAATCAAATCTTTTTATTTCGTTTGATTTAACATAGATTATTATTACTTACTAAATTCTTTCTTTCGAATAAATCCGATATCTTTTATTCAATAAATTTTATCGGAGATATGATAACGTTTCGAACACTCACGTACGTGATTTTTGCATATTAACGCAAAAAAACCTTAATTAACAAAAAAACCTTAACCCATTTCTTTTTTCTCTTATTTATTCTTTCTTTTTTTCTTTTCCTTTCATTAACACTTTGCGAACTTTAATATATGTACGTATTATATGCATCCACGTGTACGTTCGACGATGTGTAATTGTTATTTGAGATTTACGAACTGTAAAACAATATCTTAACGAAAGAGTAAGTTCGAAATAAGTATATATTCTGTCGAGTATGCGAACGAGGAGATAAGGAAGAAGAGGTTGACCTTGAGAACGAACTAAAACTCTCACTCCCCTTTAAATTATCACTTTCTTTTGAGACACTTATACTTGATGCTTTCCAAAATATAATATATTTTTCACTTTTTCCTTTTTTCTTTTTTCTCTTTCTCTCTCTCACTCTCTTTTTCTTTTTGTTTCTCTTTCTCTCCTTCTTTTTTTTCTCCCTTTCTCTCTTTCTATCGAAGATTCTTTTATTTCAATGTCAACGATAAACGTACAGTTTATTTTTCTCTTTTCTTTTATATATCGTCGAAATAACACTGAAATAGAATAAAGCGATCACTTGATCTATCACACTATTCACGATCGAACGAGATTATAATATAAACTCACGAATTTCGAATAACTTTTATTACCGCGATCATCTATCAAAGAAATGAGAATTTACCTTTACGAACATTAGTCGACGATTAAATATAAATTCTTATTTTTCGATAAGACGTTTGGTAACAGATATTTACATACTTATGCATATATACATGTGCAATATATATGTATATATGTATTAAAGTACGTACACATACATACATACATACATACATCATACATACGTACATATGTATGTATGTATGATGTATGTAAGTATATATGTATCAACGTACGTACGTGTGTATATATATATATATACATGTATATATATATATATATATATATATATATATACATGTATATATATATACATGTACAGAAATCCTGGCAATGAATAATTTATTGGCAATGAATGGAAAATTTACGATTTATATATAAGCATGATCAACAATTACCGTATGGAAGTCAAATGTCCAATGGATTTACTTTGTTAAAAAAGTTTCAATGGAAATAATATTTCGTCACTGCCAGGATCATTGCTTTAATGAAAAAAAAAAAAAAAAAAAAAAACAAAAAAAAAACAAAAAAAAACAAAAAAATAAATAAACAAGAAAAGAAACAAGAAAAAGCACGGAAAAAAAATAATAAGAAAACAAAAAAAAAAAAAAAGAATAAAAAAATAAATAAAAGGAAAAAGTGAATAAGATAGTTACGAAAAGAAAATTCTCATGGATTAACGAGGGAGAAATCAACAGAGAGTACCGGCGTTACCGCGATCTACCGAAGTCACGAGATGACTGTGAATGATTCGAAACCACGGCTACGAACCTAACGAGTTGTCAGTGAAAGTTGGACATTCGCCCGCGAGTCTACGCGATTCGATCGCCTCATGTTGCAGTTCTGCGGCTCCACCATTCCACTCTATAGTCATTTATATAGATATATATATATATATATATATATATATATATATATATATACACACACACACACACACATACACACGTATATACGTATGTATATATGTATGTATATATGTATATATGTATAAATGAATGTATGTATGTATATATACATGTTTACGTATATATGCATGTGCGTTTACGTATGCACCAATTTCTCTTACAACGTCTACGTTTTTTTGGGCGGAAATCCAAAAAATGAACTATTATTATCATCGCGAGTCGAGTATATAAATACATATCTCGATAGTTGAAACAGAAATATCAAATTGATTTAATATTAGACTTTTAGATTTGTTGTTTAAAGGGAAACAAAAGTTTATTATTAAATTTAATATTAATATTAAATTTCTAGATTTAAGTTTAAATTATTTCAAATTAGAATTAGAAATCGTCTCAGAATTTATATATATAAATTATATATATATGTGTGTGTGTGTGTGTGTGTATGTGTTAAATATCGATGGAATTTCGGCATAATAACGAGAATATATAGATTTGTCTTGAAAATAAGTTTTATTGATTTTATAATTCGTTCTTTATAGTTGTTCAAAGGAATATAAAAAAAAATATTAAAGTGATTTTACTTGGGTACAATGATATAGGACTAGGCATCAATATTTCAATTATCGACGATTAAAAATGTATAAAATAAACATTCACTTGGTTCTGTCAATATATTGTATCGAAACAGCGGTATTTAATGAAATTTGTGTTGACCTAAGTAAAATTTTTCAATATAATCTTAGGCATTATCGACATTCTTTTCATTTTTCTTTTTTTCCTTTTCGCATTGATGATTTCTCTTTTTTCTTCTTTTAAACGTGTGACACAAGCCTTTCAACTTTTGTTCATGGTCTAACAATTTGTTTGATCAACAATTTTTTCTATAATTCAGCGATCTGCGTAGTTTGATGTTACGACTAGTATTATTTACTTAACAAATATAGACAGATCATTCATTTAAAGAATATTTTAAAGATTTAACTTTGTAATCAATGTACTCTTACTTTAACAAATTGAATAAAACTTGAATATAATTTTTAAATTCCATTAACAATATACCTTTATTTTCATAATAATTATCTTTTATTATTTAATATAATATAATTAATATTAAACATAGCGTTGTTAAAGTCTTTGCATATTTTATATATATATATATATATATTATAATTATAATTTAATTTATTGCGAAAGTAAATATGTTGAAAATCTTAAACAAAAAATAATTTTCGATGACACGAAAAAAATATTTGACGCATGTCGGAATCAAATAAACTTATTAATTTGTTTATACATAATAGGACATGCGAGAAAGTATTGTTTTGTAAGAGAAATAATATTCGTATAATTAATTTATCTCGTAATCGTATTAAGAAACCACGATTATAATCAAAGTATAGTCACGCACGAAAATATACATACGATTTAGTTTGTTTAATTTCAATGGATAAAATTTTCAATAGAAATAATCTTATCAAAATCATAATGAATTAAAGATCAATGAGTATATTCATTAAAAAAAAAGCTTCTAATTTTTTTCGATTAATTTCTTTCAGACATTTCCCATTAAGGATCGTACGTTAGAATATAATTAAATAATTAATTAACGATATGTTATACGAGGAAATAATTAATTATGAATTTTAAAAAAAGATTAAAGATTAAAATTAAGTGAATATTGTATTGAGGATAAAAATTTCTAGAAAAAAAAAAATATATATATACATATATAAATATATATATATATATATATATATATATATATATATTTCGATAATTTAGAAAGTTACATAGAATTTACAAAATTCCGTCCAATTTCTAATAGAGATCTCATAAATGATTTAAAATTCTTGATGTATATCGGGGAAATTTCATATATGTTACAAATCGTAAAGTTACATTTCAATGAGAATGTGACACAGATAACGATAACAACGACTAAGACGATTTCTTTTTTTCCATATCTCGTAGATCAGCATGTTGAATGGACATCCGCCTATCAGCTGGAAATCAAGAAAGCAGAAAAGCTAAGGTGAACTCCCAATTGAAAGAATTTATATCTATTTCTTGCTTGTTCGTGAATAGAAAATTAGACGAATCAGATTATAATAGTTTGAAACGATACGAAACGTGCAACGGTGGTGTTATAAACACATCTCGTTTATTTTCTATTTTAACCTACATACAAGATGTGTCGTGCATCGAATAACAACAAGGAAGATCGTTTGATTTTAGTTTGTTAGAATCTATGTATATATATATGTATGTATGTATGTATGAGTAAGTTACTAGTACACATACATATATAGAAACTTGTCATTAACATTGGAGACTTTCTTTCTACTAAATTTCTAATTAGCTTTAATGAACGTTGAAACAAAGTAATTTAAAATCCACGATAATTCTCTTTAGATTAACAAACAGATCTGCGGTTTCGTCAATAAATATAATTCCATCTTTCATTTCTATTTCTATATCTATATTCATTCATTCACCGATAAGTTTCTTCATGCGGACAATATTCTTGTAATTTTTTCTATGACGATTATTTTGACGTTAAAAAATGCAAATGATTACACTTGTTTCTTTTTCTTTTTTTTAAATAAATTATTATGCGAGAGAGAACGTTGAGACGATTTTGTTGACGGATAAATTTCACCGAATAAAATGCCATTATTTGAATCCGATTTTATTTTGCGCTGCGATTGTGATTTCAGGAGTTGGTCCACTGAATGGTCGACTAGCAAAGATCCCATACTTTCTAGGTGGGGGTTCGGGTGGCATGGGTGGTGGGAAAGAGGGTTCGAGAATCTTAATGGAAAAAAAAGAAAAAAAAAAAAGAAAGAAAAGATAAGAAAATATTCACATTACAAAACGTGTATTAAAATTCTTATGAGTATCGTAAGAGAATGTGGAATTTGTATTAACTTTGATTCTCCCGAATGGTTCACCCATTGCCTCGTCTTCTTCGCCATTTTCAATTTCTCGAATTCCGACGTCAGTCGACAGAATGCAGCATCTCTGCGTGCGCTCGCACTGAAAATCATCTGAGATTTAATAACGATCGCTGTACAAGCTTAGTTTCAATTACTTTTTCGACGACTTTCTCTAATTCGTTCATCTTATACGTGGCTGCCAATAATTCCGTACTGAGCTTCTTCATCTTACGATAAAAATATTATTAAAATATTTTCATCCTATTTATTTGATATATAATATAATTATTTCCTTTTATAAATTTCTTTAGAATATTTCTTACCTCGCTTTCCAATTGTTCAGTAGTCACCTTTTGCGTACCTTTCTGTAAAACTTTTTATATTAATATTAATAATAATAATAATAATAATAATAATAATAATAATAATAATAATAATAATAATAATAATAATAATAATAATTTTAATGACGAATCACTGACCGCCTTCACAATAATTTCTTCATACTCGGTCTTCTTTTTCTTTAACGTAATGAGATCATCCAGTTTCTAATATAAGTCAATTTATATAAAATTAACGTTTATAATTTTGTAACGATTAATATTCATTTGTAATTCATACCATTTGATTCTCTTTAAGGATGACCGATAGATCTTCATTGGATTTTTTAATTCTCTGAATCACCTTTCAAGGAAGATAATAATAGTAATAATAACAATAATAATAATAATAATAACAACAACAATAATAATAATAATAATAATAATAATAATAATATTAATAAGGATAACATGATAATAAACGATACTCTAATTCCATTTTAATTGTTTTTTTATATTATTAGATTCAAATGAAAGATATATAATGTATTATATTATTATAAGTTGCGAATTAATTATACAAATATCTTACTTTGTTAGCATACCAAAGTGCGATGTAAAGCAAGACGTATATGAATATGCAAATGATGACATTGTCTAGAACATAGACACGTATGAAAGACTAAAAAAAAAAAACAAACGAAGATATTACATTTGATTTGTCTCTTTTTTTCTTTTCTCTCTCTCTCTCTCTCTCACTTTCTCTCTCTCTCTCTTTGCTCTCTTTCTTGTTTTATTAAATTATTTTCTTTTGAAAAAAGATTACCTGTCGATCATAAATATTAAGGTGTTTCAAAATCGGATATGATCTCACTAATTGCGCCAACAGTCTTTGTGAAGACATCTTCGAAGTACTCCATCAGCGAGAAATGAAAAAGAATGGGGAATTAGATAAATCGAGAAGATAGAAACTTTTTTACGATCGAAAGGACAAAAATTTCGACGATCCTCGACGTCTTTTTCTCTTCTTATCGATAACGAACAATCGATCTTGCAATTAAAGGTAAATTGACAATATTCATAGTAACAGTATAATATATATATAATACATTATATTATATATATTATATAATATACACATATGTAGTATATAATATAATAAGTAATATTTTGTAAAAAAATAATTTCTATATTTTTACAATTTCGTATTCGTGCATGCATGTATATGTATATATATATATATATATATATATATATATATGTGCGTGCGTGCGCTCGCGCGCGCGCGCGCGTGTGTGTGTGTGTGTGTATGTATATACATACATGATACATTGTCATAAATAAATTGTTAAAAAATCTATTTAATTATAAATAGATTCTTATTAATAAATATATATAAAAATTTTATTAATAAATAAATAATAAAATAATATCGAATGAATAATATACCCCGTATAAAATAATATTTCATTAAAATTTTTTTGAATTAGGTTTTATCGAGTAAAAAATTTTGCTTACGTTAAAATGCTTTCGCGAACTAGTATCATTTTTTAAAGGTTAAAAAGGTTAAAAAATCAACTTTCTCGTTTAAAATTCTTGTCAGTCGAATTAATATTGCGATTATCGATCGTCGCATAGCGCAATAACAGAGGTCGAGACAGGACAAGAGTCGAATCGATAACGAGAATGATAAGAAGAAAGCCGTCGTGTTGATAACATCAACGTGAAATCGCTACTGATACGTAATGTGCTTTAGGATTTGTAAATTATTACCTTATTATTATTATCACGGCCCATTAATCAAAGTACTCGTGCGAGTTATTCGAAATTAAAAACACTCCGACTGCTTTTTATTATCGTATTCTCATAAAGTTATTCCCGTATAATTTATGAAGATTCCAATTGTCCTAGTCAATTCAATGAACTTTATAGTTTTACAATTTGATATTGCTTTGTGAATTTATTATTATCATTGAAGAAATGAAAATAAAATAATTTAGTAGTTTTATATATATATATATATATATATATATATATATATATATATATATATATATATAAATAATTAAAATATCATCGTTTAAATTCATTATTACATGAATAAATAATAAATTGAATAATAATTCGAATAATTATTTAATTAATGGATAAATTAATAGAACGATAGATAAATATAAATCTTATCGGATCGATGTATACATAAATTCTTTCAATGAAAATTTCTACATGTACTTCTAATAATATTTTACGATATAACGTAAAATCGTTTAAACTTAAAACACGAATGGAGAAAAGCGAGACCCTTTGCTATAGAACAAACAGAAGAGAGACATAGCGAACGAGTAATGCGATACACACGTGGGGTGTAAAGTCTCGGTCGAGGAGATATTAAAAGTCTTGAAACGAGCCATTAGGCAAACAAGGTGGCATACTTCGTCGAATATATATACATATACATATATACATATACATATATATATATATATATATATATATTCGTCCACCGTCATCCCCCTTTAGCGTGTCCTTTCGAATGAGCTCGGAGGCTAATCCAGGCTGAAGTTTTCCACGCGAGAAGAGCTCCGACGATTCGTCGACGTTTATTATTAGCATTCGATTAAATAAACGGGGATTAGCACATGAAAGGCAAACCATAGATATATAAGCTAGAAAGAGATACTAAGAAAAAGAAAGAGAGAGAGAGAGAGAGAGAGAGAGAAGGTATATTCGATCGGTTCAAACGAAGCCACTTGCCGGTTCCCAGCTCGGAAGGAGCAGGGGTAGGTTAACTAAATAGGAAGTTAGGCAAAATGAGGCCTGAGGCTTGGATTAAACCAAGCTTAAAAAGCTTTGCCCGTTATAAAAGAAAGAGAAAGAGAGACTGGGCAAGGGAAGGGGTTGGGACGGTGTTAGAACTGAGGAAAAGGGAGTGGATTCGAAGTATAGTCGCGACGAATCAACTGCGAAAACACTCGAGATCACTTAGAGGAATCTCGGTCCTATGTTCTCTCCCTCCTTTTCATAGTTATGTATATCTCTTTCTCAGTTAGTATATGTAAAGGTATAAGCATATATATATATATATATATATTCAACTTTCAAACAGAACGACGACCGGCTTTACTTATTCTTCTTCGTTGATGGCCAACCAACCCTCGGTAAGAGAAATGTTTATGTAAAACAGTAGCCGATAACGCATCCCATTGGAATGGCGAGGACGGAGACAGGAGCAAGGAGAGACCCACCACTTGACGCGTCAAAAACGTCAGTTACATATCGAAGGGTGGAAAGGCGAGGACAGAGACAGATAGAGAGAGAGAGAGAGAGAGAGAGAGAGAGAGAGAGAGAGAGACGTTGCGTTGTTTTGTAGGGTGAAATTGTCGGGCTTTGTGTATTTCAGATAGAAAAAGAAAGAGAGAGAGAAATAGAGAGAGAACGAGAAAGAGAGAAAGAGAGAGATGGACAGGGATTATTGAGAGTATCCTTGTCTATCGAGCAAAAATCAGATCCATTCTATACGTTCAGGATTTCTTCCAGAAAAATAACGATTCCTATCCTTTTCTCTCTCTCTCTCTCTCTCTCTTTCTGTTCTTTGTTCCTCTCTTTTTCTCTTTCACCGTAATCCCAAAACCTTTTTCGTCCCGCTCGTAAACTCCGAGCGTCCGTGATTGAAGAAGGAAATCGCCGATATGTAGTTTCCCTTATCTCTGACCCAAAATCGCTTATCTCGTAGTTCGATGCATTTTTCCCGTACAACGCTTAAATAATATCCCATATTTCTTTGGGTTCCTTTATCGATTTGAAAGCTCGAATTGATTTTAATCCGTACAGATAGATAAGTAGAGAGATATTCGAAAATATGCTATCTCATCGAATTTTCTACGATCTCTCTCTCTCTCTCTCTCTCTCTCTCTCTCTCTCTCTCTCTTTCTCTCTGTTAAATAATACCTACGTAAGTATTATATATATATATATATATATATATATATATATATATATTGAAAGATCGTTGACTTATTGGAAAGATAATTAATAAGATGAAGAGAGTAAGGGTTTTATTTTTCTTTTTTTTTTCTTTTTATTTTTTCTTTTTCTTTTTTTTCCCTTTTTTTCTTTTTCTTAGAAGATAAAAGAGCGTCATGTTTTAGAAAGAAGAGAGAGAGAGAGAGAGAGAGAGAGAGAGAGAGAGAGAGAGAGAACATCCGTTCTCTCGCATCGTAGCTCGCTCCGTGATCTCTTGGCTCGTTCTGCGGGGAGAGACTTAATTATCTAATTAATTAACCTCAATCAGAACGATGAGTAATTTCTCGCTCCGCTGGCGCCTTTGCCGTCACGTTGCGTGCTTGCCTGCAAAAGAGAGAGAGAGAGATAGAGAAAGAGAGAGAGAGAGAGAGAGAGAGAGAGAGAAAGGGAGTCTTTCTAGTCACACCGAACACGAGCCGAATTACGGATGAATTCACTGCAAATCGATTATATCCCGATGCTATTGCTTGCCGTAGAATTTCAGCTTTTCTCTCTTCCCCTCTTTCTCTCTCTTCCTCTCTCTCTCTCTCTCTCTCACTCTCTCTCTCTCTCTTTCTCTCTCTCTATCTATCTCTCTCATACACATTAAACTTCGTTTTCTGTCCCAAGTTTATCCATCCTCGTCGCACTCACATCATATCCTTCGTGTTCTAGTAACAGGACTACACCACCGTTATCCTGTTTTCGGTGAGCAACCAATTTTCCATCTTGTCTCCATTCTCCCTACGTAGTACCTTCTATCTTCAGTCGGTTTCACGCCGATCGCACGATGTTGTACCTCGTTGACTATGTGACTCACAAAGACGTTGCCTTTGCTTTTGCTTCACTTTGCTTTACTCTCATCATCTCGTCTTTCTCGTCTATCTCGTCTTCGTTCGTTCGTTCGTTCGTTCGTTCGTTCGTTTGTTACGATAAAACGTATATAACTATCAGATCGAAGCTTTCTCGTTTTCGATAAAACCAATAATAAGATTAGAAATTTTCTTACGTATATCTATGTAGACGTATACATATGATTATATTATTTATAATATCTATATTAGATGGAATAACGATGAAGAATTTTTTATTATTTAATTGGAAAAAAATGTTTAAATAATGGACAATTAAATTAATTAGAAAAGTAATATATATATGATCTTACGTTCTTCATTCTGATATAAAGTAATAAAAAATTTCGACGTCGATTATTGGTCAAGATAATAATAATAAATGAAAAAAATCAACCAGTTACGTAGTTACATGAGTTAAGACAGAAAATTACGATATAACTTTCATCCTTTATCTCGAAGATATTTTATAAACGTCGAGAGACAAGTATATAAGCGACATATATACATAGGCATTATAATACAATATATGAAAGAACTCTTTACATGTGACACTTAACGAGAATCTCATAATCTTGATAGGAACATCTATCTTTATCTCCCTTATTTACCACCCTCCGTCTTCTCTCTCTCTCTCTCTCTCTCTCTCTTTCTCTTTCTCTTTCTTTCTCTTCCTCTCACGCTTCGGTTCTCGCTTCTCTCTCGATGCCCAGTAAAATCCCTTTGAAGCTCGCCCATTGACGCTCGTGGTTTAATATTCCGTCACGAATATTAATGCCCTTCCTCGCCCAACGACTCCTTGTAAATCAGCAAAGCTCCATGCTGATGC